TAGCGATGTTGAAAAAAAGAAAATCAAACATGAATATTAATATTTAAAAGTATTAAATCTTGACAATAAAGGACACTGGTAACTATATTTATTCGTTATAATTTAATCAAACAAAAAGTACGTATTTAGTGCTAAAGAATCGCGACAAGAAGCAAACGTCTTTGGCATACATTCCAAGAAGCAATTAAATCTTGCAGCATCGTTTAACGTAAATAGTTGTCCCATCTATACCTTTAGATTTTATCGTTTAGAGAAAACGAAAATCCACGTCCACTCATATATATAATATATATCAACGAATCTACACGCATTACTCAAACACCTGTTTGACTCTAAACATTCGACAACAGTACTGGCAATTAGAGCTCTTAGGAATCTTCACATAAACACATACGTACACTAATATGTAAGTGGAGTGAGCAAAGAACCAGCAAAAAGTCAAAAAACGTTCCACGTCATTGGAGTAAACGACGTACACATATCACGCCCTCACGCTCTCTCTCTTTCTCTCTCATCCACCCCACTCTCTCTCTCTCTCTCTCTCTTTCACTTAAAATCTCAATTATCGATTGGAACAAGTGACACTAGACTCCTATCATCCTGGTCCGGGGTTAGTGGCACTTACGGACGCAATGTTCATCTATATCATACACCGATACAATTTCTCACATGCACAAAATTAGTTCAGTCGAATTTTGTACAAATATCACGACGCCCGAGCAATTCCATTGCCGATGACACTTACGAGGCTCAAAATTCCCGGCTTGGTCTAAAGTCTTGTTCAGGGTCTCAGTCCAACATTACATAGTTCCGCACTGGCCTCTTTTGAAATATAAAAATAATAAAAATAGAATAGTCCAAAAATATTATATATTTATCATTTTTATATACATATAACAGATACTTATATAAATGTGGGTAATACTTATAGATCTAACCAAATCAATTAAAATTTTTTAAATTGCGAAATTATAATAAATTAATAAATAACTAATAAATAATGATTATAGACATTATAAATATAAATATACACATAAATAATTCTTATCAACATTGTAACTAATATTTATTATGTTCAAATATGCGCTGCCTTTTATTCTAAGTACAATCACTATTAACTGAAAGTAAGATGATAAATTTATAGATATTGTTTTATGAAAATAAAAAATGAAATTTTAATTTCTATTGTTAGAATAAGCATTCCATGTTATATTGTATAAAGAGAAAAATGATATATCGCTTTTATCTCCAACATAGTTGCAAATTCTGAGATAAAAATATTAAATTAACTTGTATTATAATTTCTTAAATTGTATCGTAATTTTTATACTGCAATTATGTACTATAGTTCTCACTATCAGTCTGTACCACTTATTCTCTGATACATGAAAGAACTCTATTCTGCTTTTCTGATGCAAATTTGAGTATTTGTCGATTGCTTTGTTTTCATTTTATTATTATTCTTATCGTATTATCATTTTAGCATATCATCATTTTGTATTTGTTTGAGATTCTTCATGGAATATACAAATTTATTATTTATTCGGATTTTAGATTTTTTGATAGTGTTATGTACTATAACAATTATTACATTATTATATAATATTGAACGTTATTTTGAATATTTTATAGAAATTTTTTCATGATTATACTCTTTTAAATAATGATAGAAGAAAATGAAATGCGTATATTTTGTTTATAGTAGGATACTAATAACAGTTTACAATCCAAAAATAATTAAAATAATTATCATAAATGATTAAATATTTGAGTATTTTCTTTATTACGACGTTCTTCTCTAGACTTCTGAGGAATTTCTATAATGATTATAAGAAAAGGTCAACCTAGGATACGAAAAAAAATTCAAAATATTGTAAATGTATAATATTATTTATTAAATGATAAATATATATTTATTGCTAATCAATGTATAAGAAAATTGTGCGATTAAAGAATAAAAAATAAGTAATATAACTTTTATAATTATAATGTTCTAAGTAAAATTAAATAAGAAATCTTGTTCAACAATTAATAAATAAAAGCTATTGAAATACCATTCTTATTTCTAATATAAAACTAAGTATTAGAAATGAATAGAATGTTTTTATATAATGAAATACAACAATGAAAAAATTTTAAAACTTGTGAACGAATACTTTATAAGACATAAGATTTCATTATACTTTATTTTATATTGACAACAGTCGGTTGACACGATATAAACTAATTAGGAACACTTTGAAAAAGATAAGTAATAGGTTACCTATTAATATGATCAATTCCAAGAATGTGTGACGTCAAAAACTTAACCAAATCAATCGACAGCGTTAATTTTCACTTTGAAGTACATAAATTTTGTATTTGCCTTTCCCCTCTCCTTTTAACCCCTTCTCCAGATCCCTACCTCTTTCTCACTTTATGCTCTTTTTCAATCCTTCCGTTTCAGTTGGCAAAAACTATACTGTTCGCAAATCGTTAGTTCACGTTAGTAATACCGGCAAGTCAGTTTGTACTACAGAAAAAACAAAATCATTAGTTTTATTCAATCGTATCTATCGTTCAAGTATCTATCGTTCTTGTAGTTTTAAAGAAAGTTTAAAAAGTTAGTGACACGTTTTTTACTATTAAAGAATAGAATTATTAAAATATTGTTTTGAATTTAATATTACCTTTTTAAATAAAAATTATTTATATATTATTTTTAAATAGCTGATAGCAAGAATATAATGTTATTTCACTGAAAAGTATATAATATAAAGCTTAAAAGAAATAATTTATATATGTTTGAAAATAAATTCATTAATATTTTTTAACTTAATAAGATAAATTAATATTAATAATAAATTATACTAGTTAAAATTAAAGTTTCTAAAAAAAATTGTATATATTTTAAATAAAAATGTAATGTTACAAAAATCTTTAAATTACTTATAATATTTTTAACGTATATTTATCTTAAAAATATATATCGATTCTGTTTATATTTGTAAATATAGTATACAACTTTTATAAAATTAATGTTTATAATATAGCATCAGTATAGCTATAAAATATATAATGGATGTATATGAATAGAGTAGGCTTGTTCTGAAGTTTTATTATAAGTGTGATAATAATTATTACTATTTATTACTATTTATTAATACAATTTATAATAAACTATACGTGAAATAATAGATATTAAAATTATTCAGAATTTTTTTAAATAACACGGTGCTCTTATTTTAAAACAAATAAATGCAATATTACTAATTAAAAATTATATATTAGCTGTTGTTAATTTTAAATGTTATTCATAATCATTGTACATATTTCATACGTAATTTGCTATTCAAAATATTGTTCAAAGTACTTTACTAATAATTATTGTTTCAATAAAATAATAGGAATAATCAATGTACTTATATGATATTACATATAAATTTTGTTTATTAAATCCCGAATTTTTTTCTAATAACGTGCTTCAGTTATGAATTTTTTAAAAATATCAATTATTAATTTTAAAGTTACACAACTAACATTGGGTCTATTAAAAATAGAAATTTAATTAAAAATTAAAAATAAAATATTCTATTTAAATAAAATTAATTTATGATGCTATTCAATTGCATTGCCATTTGCAATAAAATATAAGAGAACAAAAAAGAATTTTTTAGCAAGCGTATTAAGAAAGCATAGAAAAAGAGATTTCAGGTAAAATTCAAAATCACTACAGTACATATAAAATTTTGTCTAATTTTTCTCAAAAATTTATCATCGAATTTTTGTAGCTAACAGAGGATGCGAACGTGTTAAAGTTGAAGAATTTCAAGTGCTTGAAAAAAGTGAAAATAAACAAAAACGATCACTACCCGCTAGTAAAGTTTTAAAAATTGCACGAACTTTGCAACTGACTTCTCGATTTTCCAGTCATTTGAAATGCTAAACACACCTATTGCGTCGTAAGCCTACTAAATGTATAAATTTTCTACACTCATTACTAAAGTAATTGATAAAATAATTTAGTATTCTTTTAAATTGAATTTGTATTTATACACTGAATTTAGACTATATAAAAGAAAAAACATAGCCGTTAAAAACCAACGAGTGGATATACAATATTAACCATTAATTGGCATATAATACAAATTTAATACTGAGGTTTTTAAGTCTATTATACTTTCTTTAATCGATGTGTTCACTTAATGTATGAGTGGAATTATTTATTAGAAACTGATACAGAACTTGTTCTATAATAATATTTTATTAGATTAATTCAATCTATAAAATTATTTAAATGAAGAAGTTTTTGCATTGTATGTATCAATTTAAGACTCTTATAATATACATGAATTATTTTTATATCATTTTTATTCTTAATATATTATTATAATTCTAATTTTATGTCAGTTATAAATTATATAAATTGTTATAACTAAAATAATTTTTTTAATCTTTTTAATGCAACTTTTAAAAATTATTACCCTTGAATTATTGATAATCATTTAAATTATTTACTATTAAATTTTCTTATCTTTATTTTTAATATATTTTAAATTACTTGCTCAAATTAATTTACAAAATTTAATGAATTTTCTTTTTATTAATTATTTTTATCATCTAATATTTAATCTGACTTTTCAACATTACGAAAATTACAAAACTATACGAAATAACTAAAAACCGTCAACAGTTTACTATTAGTGTTGATATCGATTAATATATAATTCTTTTTGAATCCTGTAAAAAGAAAATATTGTTTTTAAATAAAATATATTTCGCTCTATTTTGTTACCATTATAGAACTCTATCGATAAAAGTAAAAGACACTCATATTAATACACAGAGTATTTAATAATGTTCAATAAAAAAATTTTTTAAAATATTATAATAAGAGATTCTTATATTACTCAAACGCTTTCTGCAATATTCATTATTTCATTATTTATTAAAAAAAAAAAAGAATCATGTTAATATCATTCAAATATTAACAAAAGGTTTTATTTTTTATAAAGAAATGGTGCATCTGCGAGAATGCAGCAAACAACATCTGGAAATACACATCTGAGTGTCCAAGCGACGCAAGTCGTACCAGTTGATTCAGAAATGAACGAGGGTGTTTCTTTTCAACGTGGCCGGTCACAAAGTTTCCGACGACAAAGTATCTCTTTGAATACTGTCATTAATCATAGAAGAGCGCTTTTTGGGTAAATATCGTCACTATTCTTACAATCAAACATAAATTTTATATATCTAAAGAGCTTAACATTAATACAAAAAATAAATAATTTATTAATAGACTTTAATACTGTTAAAACGTCAATTGAATGAATCATATTATGAATAAATAACAAAGTAACTATGTTTATTCAAAGCTTTATTTGTTGTCTATTTCTATAGTATGATCTTATACTATATTTGAAATCTAATTGATGAATAAAATTAACTATATGGTTGCCCAACTATTAATTGACACTGGTTTTGGGGTATTGCTAATTAAATCACACTATGCACTTTTTATCCTCGTTTCAAAGGATATAAGTTGACACTTGTTTGCAAAATTAAGGGGACAACTTTTTAATTACAAACTGCCTCTATTTTGTTAAATTAATACCCTCAGATAATGTTTTAAAAACTATCAAATAACAAGTCCTTTCGTAATTCTAGTCAATTATATAGTCTATCCTCATCATAGATCTGAAATTCATTTTATTTACCATCATTCGTCCATAAACAAAGTAATTACGAATTTTCGTAAATAATTAATGAAATGCAATTATTAATTAATATTTTATAGGGCTCTCCTTACGGGCCTCGGCAGTAATATGTCACTACCATCTTGTGTGACACACGACCAAGAGCACCCAGGTCAAGCCAGAGAATCTGAGATAACAACTACAACACCGATTTCATCGACATTTTGTCCTACAAACCACCAGAAAACTAAGCATGACGGTGAATCCACCCATTGTAAACCTATGCTTCTACAACTAACACCAATTGATACCACTACCACTCCATTAAGCAGCCTAGATATTCAAAAAGGTATTTTCTTATACTTTTCTTTTTAGTTGTTTAATATTCAGATATCAATTTTCATTATTTTAATTTATAAAAATACATTAAATGTATGAATATTAATTATCTGGGTAAGATTGACTTTCATGTAATAACAATAATAATTGGTATTTACGTTTATATCTAAAATAAATAATTTTGTATAAAAATATAATTAGACTTAATGTTACGATTCTCGATATATGAAATTTATTATTATTATGAATTTATTATTATTATTATTATTATTATTATTAATTTATTATTATTATTATTATGAAATTTATTTAGTTATTAGTACTAAACTTATTATCTCTTATAAATACACTCATTGTCACATATATACTTATACGATATATACAATCAATTATGCACTCAAGCTTGGCATTGTTCTGTCCTCATTAAAAATTGCTGCTTTCACTAGGTTCCTTTAGAGGAATTTTTATCGAAGCGTTTCAAAATTACAATCTTAATATACCTTTAAACTTTACTTAATCTATATACTACGTATATCTTTCTATATCGTTTATTTCGGTTTATAGCAAGGACAATATTAAAATACAGACACTTCTATATAAAAGTACAATAAATTTGGATTATGAAAAAATTTTTGACAATAATATAGATATATAATTTTCTGTTTAACAATTTTTTCTCTTAATCATCTTCTTAATAATAAAAAATCTCTTTGATACCTATAATTATAACCAAATATACTTATAATTAAAAAATATAGATTTAAAAATTTTTTTTTCTCATTATAAAATGATTCCTTGTCGTATGAAGTTCATCGATGGATCGTAAGAACTACATATTATTTATGATATATTTAAATATTTGTTTTAATTAGTAAAAGATGAATTGCGTTAAATAGAAAAATTATAAAAGAAAAGAACATTCAGTTTTCTTCAATATATTCATTATCTCTCTATATCAAATATCTCCCTTTAGTCTTTTGAAACAGAGGGAAAAGAGCGTTAAGTTTAATGATTCAGTCCATGTAGTAACACAAAAAACTCCGTAGATAATGCTGTCTAGAAAGGAAACTTTTCTACCCAGAAAGAATCTACCGCTAAATTAAATCTTTATTAATTTTGGAATTTATATTTATATTTAAAGTAAATTTTTTTAGTTCCCTAAGTTATTAGTGAATAGAATATAAAAATCGGCTGAATAAAAAATAAATTTATTTAAGATAATATGCAGATTTCATTTTTTATTTCTCTTTTATACTTTGCACTGGATAAAAGATTTTACACTTTCTTTCATGTTTAATAGCCTCATCATTGTATACTTGCAATATACTTTTTAACTTCTTCCAGCGCTTTATTGTAGGATTCTTAACCCCTCGATTAAAGGTGTTGATCACAAGAAAATACTTTGCAACCAACCTCAAGCATCACTAGGGTTCGACTGCGATGTCGACATGCAAAGTCAAAATTTGAATGAAATCACGTAACGTTGTATAAGAGAGGCAAATTTCAGCACGATTCTGTAAAAGAAATAATATCAAAGTTCCATAAAAATTAATATGAATCTAAATTTATTTTAAAGTACATAATTTGTATATTAAAATACTATATATTAAAATACTATACTATGGAGCTGCACTTGCTAATTTGAAGCTTACTTAAATTTACTTAATGTAAACATTTTTCATGCTCATTTTAATCAGATAATATATTTGAATTTAGTTCAATACTTCAACTATTATATAAACTTATTTTTCATTTTCAATTATTAATTAAAAAAAGTTCTATTTAGGTAGAAATTAAATTAAATTCGTGTATTAATGGAAAAATATTCAACTTATTTTTAACTAATATAAATATTACGAATTGTGGATAAAGTCCAAATTTCAATTATATATATCAATGTAGATATCTTATTGTTATTTACTATTCTTATTTTTAAAATACAAATCATATTTTTTTTTCATACGTTGTACATATTACATAGTATAAGCATTTTTTAAAAGAAATTATTTAATAAATACTTCTGTTGTATTTTTATAATTAGTTATTGTTTTCACTTTAAAAATTGTTCATAAACTTTTATCAAGGGCTTAATTCAACATTAAGTACTAAATTTATATTATATATATTACAAAAACCAACAACATAATTGTAAATGGTAAGCATTTTTAATGTTATGGTATCATATTGTTTCGCTCATATTTCTTAATTTACTAAATATGCAATAACATGTCTCACATTATTACGATTATTAGATCATCGATAATATTTACTGCAGTTAAATCGGTTCATCTTCTCACTCTTCAATAGTAATAGTAAGCTTGAATCATTCCCAACTCAATAATATTGATAACAATGTATAATTTACACATACTGGTTCTCGACACATTGCTAGAAATGGAAAAGTGAAAGACAGTTGATCAATAAACCTAAAATTTCGACTTGACCAGGTGAGATGGCATAACCCTTGGTAAAATTCACGTTTCAGAGAAACTGCCAGTTGAGCCAATAACCAGGCTAACGTCCCGACACCAGCGGCAGCAGCATGCGGAACTAATGTCAAGTATTAGTACTCTGTACGCGAAACTTCTCGTCGTCGTAGGCGTGGCCGTCCCGGTCACCGCTAGTGTAAGTCAGCAGGTGCCTGCAGCCTTGAATCAGGTAAGCACCTGATGCCAGTCTGCAATTAATGCTGTACTCGACTTAAAGCGGCTATGATTACCTTAAGGAAATCTAGACAAAATTATCTTATGACAGTATTTAACGTAAAATTAATATTTTATCTTCAATTAACTAAAAAGTTAAATATTTCTGTCATTTTTATATATTTTACTTATGTATATTTTTATATTTTTTATATAGAAATATATTACAAATATTATAGTAGCAATATTTAAAACTGAAACAATTTTAAAATAAATACTATTCACAATAAAAATTCTATTAAACTTAATTTAACTTAATTTAATATATTTGGAAAGAGATCCATTAAAATATAAAAGAAATTCAAAAAATAGTATTTAAAATTACTTTATATGCAATATACATAGATGAAATATTACTTGTGTTATTATTTTCTTTAGAAAAGAGTAAAAAAAGTGTAAAAGTATTTATTTTTTATGAATTTAAAGGTAATAGTCGTTTTTGTGTAATTTAATATCAATAATCATGTTACATTCCAAAAAGCTGTAAACTGACTATAGTTATTACTGCTAATAAAATAAAGTATTTTTCAAACACATTAAATTATAAAATATGACAATATTTTTATCGATATTATTACTATGTTTATAATATTATCCAGTTGGAATATATGCATTATTAATAATTGGCTAAATTACTTTTCGTTTTTATTTTCATGAACTATATATTATTTTTGAAAAATATTTTCTTGCTCTAAAAAACTTTTTTTCTTAATTTTGTATGAAAATTGACATAAATAATTAATTAAAAATCCAATGAAATTGTAATTTACATGTAAGTTTCTTTTCATGCTCAAAATGTTAAAAAACTTTGATTTATGATAAAATCAATTTGTATTTTTCTAATTCATATTTTGTTCTAATCAAATTATATTTTTGATTTGAAATAATTATTCATTATTATTTAGTTTTTAATCATGATTTCGTCTTCTTTTGTTTATCGAATAAGACGACTTGTAAATAGCTGTAAATTCAGATTGTATAGTACACTACTTTGTTATGTATATAGAAAAATCTCATAAATTTCTTCCATAACGTTTATCATATTTTGTTTAAATAATATTATCACATCAAAGGAAAATCATATAATTAAACGCGATAAATTACATTCTTCTATAACCACAATTACACTTTAATCACTTTATTTAATTAATTGTTTGTAAATAATTATAATACGATTTTAAATAATGATACGAAATTATAATGTCGTGAACTATCATAAAATGATTTTGAATTCTATGGTATGGAAAATAAATAATGAACTTGTACACCAAAACTAAAAAGTATTAACTTCCTATTGGTAATATAATATTCAAAGTATATAATTGTTCGAGCTGTAAACTTAGGAATCATATCATTTATAATGACATTGAAATAAAATTAATAATTGTAATGAAAATGTCATTAATTGTACAAAATGTGAATTAATGAAGAAGGATGAAATATTTGTTCATCAATTTTCTAAAATTATGAAGATTTTTTTTGTGTATACATACAATTGTATAATAAAATCTTTTGTTTTTAAACGACAATAATTGAAAAGAAAATTAGTTTAGGATATAATTGAACAACTTGTGCCTTCTAAATCCTTCAATTACTTATTGAATACTTATTAAGAATATTACTAATTATGCAAAAGTTATTTATTTATTTGTTAATATATTGCTTAATTATAAATAATATTATGGGTTCAATAATAAAACTTCTTTATATGTTTAGATAGAGAGCATATGACTAATATTATTATTTATTATACTTTATACAATTTTAACATTAACTTTAAGTTTAGAATGTGCATAATTAAGACAACAGCTGTTAAGGTATTAAATTTTATATCGTATATTATATAATTATGAAGTATTAAAATTTAGAATCATAATTCGGCACTGAAAAATAGATAATCGGTAAATTACACATATCAATTTTAAAATATTAGAATATTAAAGATGTATTTATAAATACTACCAATTTTAATAGTACTCCAAAATAATATATAATTATTACACTTAGGCTACTACTAACAGACAGAATTTCTACTAACCATTATAATATTCCATATTATATAACTTTAAAAAACACATGTTAGTAAGTGTTGATATTTTGAAAATGTTAGATTGAATACAGAAGGATTGTAAATGCATAAAATAATAAAATAATTTGAAATAAATTTGAATAAACATTTCTATAAGCCTTCGTATACATATTGATTATATTTATTAGAAAAATAAGTGAAATTAAAACAATCTAATATTTTGTCGAACGATATTATCATGGCGCATCAATTGGATATCGTTATCAAATTTGATTATTTATCTATGTAGAATTATTCCTGAAAATAAAAAAGTGGAATTACAATAACAAATAATTAATTTTGATATAATTAGTTTAGAATATTGAATATTCAACAAAATAGTTGAATATTTCAGTAAATATTTTTAAAACATAAGTTAGAGATAAATCTATATAAGCTCTGTATATAAGATAAAAGCCAATGAACCTCAGTGATAAAAACTGTGTACGAGAGCTATAGGCAATGCGCCTATAATATTTTCCTATCAAATTTAATTATTGAAAATATCTAGTACCATCGCAGAAGTAAGATCGTATGTCGCAAATTTAAATAAACTTAAAATTCAATTACTATTTTTTTACAGTATTTATTTCGTAGCTTTAAATTTGCTATTAAAAAATATTAAATAAAACATTGTTAAAGAAAGTTTTGTTATAGAAGGCTTTGAAAAATTTAATTTAATTTGATAAAATATTTTAAACTAAAACTCCTCAATCTTTATAATCATTTATATAAAGCCAATTTAATAAGAAAGATTATAAACAACTCCATTATAAGTAATGAAACTCAAAATATTAAAAATTTGATGCAATAATAATTTGTTGAAAAAAAAGAATGATCGCATCTACAAATACACAAATTTTTCTTATAGAAAACAGTTTCCACATACATGTGTGTATGTTTTTGTATACATAATTTTATACTTCTTTAGTTTTATATTGCAAATTATATTATACTATTTATATTACATTAAATATTAGATTTTTTCAAATCATTAAATGTTTGAATATTAAGCTTAGATATTTATGCATATAGAATGATTGAATATTCTCCTTTTTTATTATGCCTAAAACGCATAGAATTGTTTATCACATATTAACATTAATATTAATATAATTAACATTAATACCTAAGTGTGAAGTAAATTTAGAAATTGTATGAAATTTAAAAAATTGTAATTTCTATAAATTTTTAAGTATTTATAACCGGACTCAACTACAAAGGTTGTTATGATTTAGCTTTATAAAGCGTTTGACATAATTAATTTTTTACAGAATTTTATTCATGTTGTGATAAATGAATACAAATGGTTTTGACGAAGATTTCTTTTTAGGGATTTTATCTCTATCTATATTTGGCGAGTGTCTCGTTTGTCGTAACCATGTATACTACACTAATACGTGACAAAGCACTAAAAAAAATGATTGTAAAACACGTCAAACAGCAGAATACATATACTTTCGGAGAAAATGGGACAAGTATACATACATTCCAGGTAAGATATTCAAATAAATTTTTAAATAAATTGAAAACCACAAAGATTATTTTATTTATTTTGAATTATTTTTAAGATCGCTTAAATAGAAGATATCATAAAGATGTCATAAATAAATTCAATGTTCTTACAATAAATGTTAAAATGATTCTTTATTGATAAAACATGTTTAGAATATAGAAATAAATAAATACTCAACAATATTTTGTATTTATTGTACTTAATAATTGAATTTAATTAATTACATTGATTATTTAATTAGATTAATAAATACATTTGAAAAAACTATTACAAATTTAAACCAAACCTTTAGCAGTATATTATGTAAATGAAGCCTCAAAATAGCGTATAATTGTAGAAATACATAATTAAAGTAAATTAAAACTTTAAAATACTACAGTGCAATATACTATCACAATAATTAAAAAAAGAAAATGAAAATATAAAATTTTAATTAATAGAAGAAAGAAAAAATATACAAGTACCCTTACTTAATTATTACATATATATGAATTGAAGCACGCAAAAGTAAAAACTTTTATATACCAATGAAAATGAAAATTAGTTGGTATATTATTATTTGCTATAAGATGTACTATAATGAGTATTTTTCAACAAGTTTCTTTTTTTAATAATGATTCGTTTACAGATTTTTTAAAAAATTTGATCTGATCTGAAAAACAATGTTTTTTTATAAAATTAAATCTATAATCTTGTATCATAATATATGTATTTATAATATTAAAAGAAATATTAAAAATTATTTAATTAATTTATTATTTATTTATGACATTCTTGATACCTAATAAGCAATATAAAAGAAATATAGATCAACGTATAATTAAAAAGTCTTACGGCTTTCTATTGTGATAAGTTTTAAATGTGTTATTAAGAAACTTCTCCGTTCTTTGCAAATCTATGTTTTCTATTTTACTCTCCATTACTTTAGAAAAAAAAATAATAATAATACTGAGCTATATTACAGATATTTTATTCTATTATTTATTATATTAAATTATTTTATATCTGTATAAATATGTTAAAAAATTTTTTGTAAATAATTTTTCAAAAGTTTAATTTCCAATTTTAATATTTTACTATTTATGTACTCTAAAGATAGTTTTTTAAAAATATTATTTTGCAAAAATATTTACAATAGAAATTATGATATATTAGTAAATATATACACTTTATAAGTAATGGTAAATACTTTTCTTCAAGCAATTTATTATTGGTAAAATATAAAAAAATTAGTTTTATTAATGTTTAGTCATCTTCTTTTTCTAAGGTTCAAATGTACTACCTTTTAACATCATCTCACCATCTCAAAATTATTGGTTTAAAAATATAAACAAAAACATATTATTTATACTCTAAACTATATTATTATATATTTTAATTATAATTTTCATTATACTATTAATTTATTATTCATAATATTTATATTAAATCCTTATAAAATATACCGCGAATACTTTTTTTATTCTTCTGTACCAATTCACTTCAATTCAATTCTTTTACCCCATTGAAAACTAGATTTTTCATTTTTTAATAGATTTTAAAAATATTATCATTTATATAAATTGTGCTGTATTATTAAGATCGGCGAAATTTTAATTATTGCTACATAACAAGATTAATATCCAGTTCTCGACTACACTTGTGAAGCTGAACGCTGATTAATGATATCATACATAATAGTATAAGCGGTTGGCTTTGATTTCTAAAACTTCTCGATCAACAATTACGAAAATTATTCTTTTCATTATCATTAATAATTAAGATCGGAGTCAAGAAAGCGGGTAAAGAAAACAAAAAGAAAATACCAGTCAATACAAACCTTCCAACTTATCTCAGTAGCAACAACACATTAACGCAGGCCCGTGCAAATGTTCTAAGCTCCAAAAGCATCAAAAACAGCCACTGAGATCCCGTCACACCCAACAATACGGAAGCTTCTGCTTGCGCCTCGGCACCGTCGGCTTCGGTGCCGGCGGCCTCGTATTCACAGGCCTCCAGATCGGTGCTGAAATCGCCTCGGGACCGATAAGGGCTATCATACCAGCTGCACGCTTCCTCCTCGTCACGGCCCAGATGCATTTCATATTTCTCAACAGTAAAGACCTCGTGTTGACGCGTCATGAGGCGCTCGCTAAGCTCGGTCTCATGCATCTCATCGCCACCAACATTTGCGAGTGGTTACAGGTATTTCGTTGGTTCTTTAAGTGGTTTTCCCGGAGCCACGTATAGGGGCATGTTAAGTTGTTTTACTCCCCGAACATATTTCTTTTATATTTTTAATAATTAGTAGAGTAGAATATTTTTTTCTAAATCCGCAAAGTAAATTGGTGAGAGGGAGGAATAATAAAAATTGGAGAATATGCTATACTTGGATGCAATTATTGAAACAACTTGTATAATATAAATTCTATTCAGTCATTAATTTACTTAAAAAAAAATATTAATTTTAAACTTAATTTTTATTGTTTCATATGTCATATATGTAGGAAAGGAATAAAGATAGTATGATCAACACATGAAAGTAAACTTTTATGCAGTAAAATTTATCTAAGATTATAATAAATAATACAATTTATATTACCCACTATTAGAAATACATGACATTTAAGATCAAGAGTTGCTTATAAGAAAAAAAATCTGCAATTAAATTATCTTTATAAAACGTTAGCTCTCATTATGACTTCCTTCAATAGTAAAAATTGATGCCGCAACTGCCGTTCGAAAATATTAAGTCGACTTATAGAAAAGATCTTATAACGCACCTACGCTCAATTTGCGTTGAAAGCATCAAAAGTTGCACGTCTCCCTATAATTGGCTAAGAGAAGCGGCTTTTGCCAGGCTCTGGTAGAGGAGACGCAGTACGAAATCGACCAACTAGAACACGCGCACGAGGGCGACGATGGCATCCTCCGTAAACTGCTTCGAGTTCAGCCTTATATGCGCCGTCATACTCTTTGAAATGTGGAAGCGGGTGGACGAGCGACACCGAGTCGAAGCAGCCTGCACTTACACTGCCAGGTCTATGCACCAACTGAGCATCGATTGCGGTAGTGCCCATAGGTAAATTGTGCACTCAGATCTTTTTCTATTGAGCCCTTTATCATTACGTCGACTACGAAATTATGGGATAGATCCATTCACGACAATACCTGATACTAAGATATGCTTCGAATATTTTGAACTTTGAGCTTGTTTTCTATTGATCAAACATTATTTTGCTGCTACTTGGCATTGGTTCGCTTGCGACTCGCCCTAAGCGAGGTATACTTGGGAATATACTTGGTTCTTGAAAAACGATCGTGTTAAAACTCACTTTATAATAACCAAATTTAATAAATTACGTAATTTTTCAAATATTTATATTAATGTATACTTGAAATGATTTATTGCCCATTTATATATTAAAATAAAAGCTTCAGAAAATTTCATTCGCCATCATTTATATTGTGTCGTTGTAAAATTTAGGTAAAAATAATGTAAAAATGCAGACATATTCTATAAAAAAAAATAGACATTTAATTATTAATGACATTGAATCTTTGTAGATTATTCAAACTCTGAATGTCTATATTTTCGTATATGAAAAACTTATTTAATTTAAATAAAAATTCGGATGAAAAGAATCTGACCTATTTATTAATAATATTTTCTACAAATGAATTTGTATAAAATTATTAAGATTTGAAATCTATTATATAGAGATACTATATTATCTTAATTAAATTGTTTTCTAACAGCTAATGCTAATATCCTTCAAAAAATACAATAAAACACTTTATTTTACACTGGAAAATCTAATTTATAAATAGCAAAGCATTAAATTAAAAATTTGCTCAAAAGTTCAAGACCAATTTAGTGTCTCATATATAAAGAAAATTAATTTAAAAAATACCTTCAAAGAAAAGAATTTTAATAAAAAAAATTTAAAAATTTTCTCTATTCATATATTACCGTAATTGTTTATAATTATATTTTCTTTAACAATTTAATTATTACCACATTCCTTAAATTGTAATTTATTTCAAACCCTTACTTTTCAAAGAATTTAAAAAACTATATTTAATTCTTTTCTAAGATTCATATTGTAATAAAAAAATGTTCCCATTATTTTATATGCATATTTTGATTTTATTGCTCATCTGTCAAACAAATAGTAGAAAGTCGTTACATTTCTCGAAACAAACTATAATATTTTATGATTATAAATAAAATAGACAACTCTTATTTTATTTTACAAAATTATTATTATAAAAACTTCGATTCATTTTTCATTTTCTTTTTCAAAAATATCCTTGAAAGAACACTATTTATAACTTTTTCGACTGTGCGATCATTTCAATTTAACAAATTAATTCACCTTAACAATTAAATTCATACCAATAGCTATTAATTTTCTAATTATTAAAATAATATCAAAATAATGACGAGGCAATCAATGATATATAAGTATAATGATAAATTAATGTCTATCTCTATTTATAAATAGATAGCCTTTCTTTCTTACATTTGAAGTTTAATAAATTGTTATACACTATATTTTTAATTTTTACTGTATATTATATCAACTTTCTATTTAATTAAATAAAACCTGTAATTGTTACAGGGGACTTTTTGGAGGTATTTTGGTCGTCGCTGCAACGGTTCTTAGTCTAATTATGTTTTTCGTATTAAAAGAAGCGCAGCCTAAAATGGCTATTCAACAAGTTACATCACTTGAAGTTGCAATACAAATGTCAGGTTAGACTATGTACCTATTTTTCAATATCAGTAGATGCTTCTGACCCTATTCAATTGTGATTAGATTTTGAAAAGGATATATTATAATATTAATATTATATATGACAATATTAAAATTGAACATTAATACAAATTATATTAAAATACATTAAATATTAAAATTAGCTTTAATATTGAGAAACAATCTATTTCAGAATATAATATTTAATTTAAAATATATAAGTAGATTAAAATTTTGATATTGTTACATTGATTATATAAATTTACCGATGCATGTAAAATACCTATGTATGTATATATAAATACACATATATATTTTCCACGATCCTCAAATAATGAATCATAAAAAATAAAATGATTATTATATTAATATTAAATTTGACTATCAATATATATGGAACTTTGTAAAGTACGTAAGTTTCAAATACAAACATAAATGAAAATATATGCTAGATATATTAGTAATATAGGAGTAACTCAAAATACCATAATGTTGCACACTAATTTAAATTGTGAACAAATAGTTGAATTTAAATCGAATAAATCAGGGTTCTCTTATAATTATTATAATATAAAGAGAAAAAATAGTATTTTAATTAAGTAAAGTATTTTTTTATATCGGATAATTTTATTTACAAATGCTTACCGCCGAACTTACTTTAGCAAATAAATAGTTTAGTCTCAATTACTGTTAACTGCTCTTATATAATTTTTCAAGGTTTTACTTTCTTCTATCAACATTTTTTAGTGGCTTCTCCTACTTCATCGATGCACCTCTTATACAATATACAATACAAATTCTGGAGCAGTTTAGGGTTGCATTGAATGGTTTTAAATTTATGCGTACGTTTGATTAGTATGAGTTTTTTCCAAATAACAAATCTTACGTGTCTGTTGTAAAAAAGTCGTATATTATTAATTATTATATTTCATTACTAGTAAATTTTATTAAAGGAATTAATGTATAATAATTACATAATTTCGATACGTAACAAAAACTATTTCTACAATTTTAATTAATGTACGAGCCTAATATGTACCATACTTAATATTAAGTAAGACTTTCAAATATTAATATAATTAAATTTAATATAATTCAAATATAGAATATTAAGTATTACTTTGGAAACATTATTACGCCACAAGAAGATTTTCTTCCTTACATTCATTATTTAATATACTTTTATAAAAATTTACAACAAATTTTATCCAAAATTTTGATTATTTTTATCTTTAGATATTACTTCATTATAATTACATACATTATTTTCATTTATTATCGCATTGGCTTTGTTTATAAATCAACTTAATCTAATATTATTATTAATTTTATACAGTAATGAATAAATGAATAGCTTATTTACATTATATGAAATATTTAAAATAGAAGTAGAGATTTTAATGTTTCTCAATAAATATATAACAAAAACTTTTTATCAATTTCTAAGCATAAAATTTATTTTAACATATAATGTTATAAGCATCAAATTTTATACGTATATATAAATATTTTTTAACATTTGATTCATTGTAAATTGTATGTATATACTGAAAAATGGTCAAAAGTTTTTACAAAAAAATATCTTTAAAATTACACTAAAAAAATTAATCGATCTATAAATGAATTTAATGACTATATAGATGTAAAAATTCAATATATATATAATAAAATAATCAAAATAATTTATATATAAAGTTTAAAAGCAAGACCACAAAATTGTTTTAGTCAACAAGATACGATATAAGATTATATGGGTATATGGTAAGATATATTAATCTCGAAAAAAAATAATAATTATTATAAGAAAAAAATAAATAATAATAATGATTTTAGCAAAACAAATAATTTCATAAAACAATTATGGGATTATGGGAAACTCAAATATGTTAAAAAGTAAATACTAAAACTATTGCAAAAATAAATGTATCAGGAAAAAAATAAAAATTATATCAGATATAAATACATGAAAAAATTATATAAAATAGAAAAAAGCTTGAATTAATAAATGAAAAATTTGTTGGTTGAATATTTTTTATTTCTATTCTAAATATAAATTAAATAAGTATGTATATAGCATAGAGCAGTTAAAGAAATAACAAAATATATGTATTTGAATCTGACAAGCATTATGCGATCCGTTGAAAAGGAAAAAATGTTCAAATCCATGAAACTTGATGTTCGCAACTTATAAAATAAACTTTTTATCAACGATGTTTATGTACAAACCCAGCGTTCATGTGCAATCGAAGTTGCTTACAAAAAATAAAAAACAGATACTTTTCAATTATTGAATCCCTATTCACACAAAAAGCGAGTAAAATATATTATATTCGCTGGAAATCGTTGATTGTCATTTTTTCCTCACTTAGTAAATACTTCACTTGTAAATAATAAATCAATTCCTCTTTGTCTCGAATTGCAACTTTGTGTATATAGATCAATATAGATAGTCTATCTTTTATAGAAAGTTTCATTTTTTAATAATTGTCACAAAAACATACTTTTTATATCAGCAATGTTTTCCAGAGATAACTTATGTACGTTAACTTAATAGTATTCCATTTAAACGCTATTTTACTTATGTATATAAACAGAAACAAACATTCAAATTGTTTATACAATGCAAAACATTTATTATTAAGGCTGTTTATATTGGCATATGCAGAGGAACACTTTTAAAAAATCTGCATACCTACTTACGTGTTTCTACTATTTTCTTAAGGCCTTAAATTTTACAAATCTCATTAGAAAGTAAACTAACCATATCGTACAAAACGAACGAAACAAGGACATATAGTGTTAAATCAGTAAATTAATTAAAGATTAGAAAAGCTTCGAGTAGACGCGGACTTAAAACTAAAAAACTTATATAAACCGGTTGATTAGATGCTTCTAAACATTGATAACCTGCAGGCACAATCGCAGCTATCGTCGGAGCACTGAAGCTTCGTGCTTTAAATTACAAGGAAACGAAGCCACCTCACCTCGATTCCACCCTACTGGCGGCGGCTCAGGCCGGGGTGTATTTGCACTGTCTCTTCGGCACCGTCGGCAGTGTACTAACGCGCGGACCAACCTGGATTCTTTGTCTCGCAGCTGATTTTCTGGCCCTGCTCCAGAGCACCACGCAAACGATACTCATCAAGGTCAGAAAAAGACGGTCTCTGTGGCCATACTAAGGTTGAGCCAGGCTTGCTTTATTTATTATTTTTAGCCGCTTTAACAGTTAAGAATAGATGAAAGTAGAAGAAACGCGCGTATGAAATTCCATATAAATAAAAATTATGTAATTGAAATGGATGTTGGAGAAAAATATAAAAATATTGCCGTAATAGCATTGTACAAATTAGAGACAAAAAACTTTGAGAAATCGAAAACTAACTACATTCAAAGTTAATTTTCTCTCTTCCCGAATAAAGGCTTAGACTCCATTATTCAAATATAAATTGATGAAATGTATGATTAAATAGCTTTTAATTGATAACAGGTATAGAGTTTACAATTTATAGAAACTATAAAATATCTCGTGTTTTGTTCTTATTTAATTCCTTCTAATTGAATATCGTTTAAATGGTACAATAAACGCTCGCTTCTGTACATTGCATAATGCATTTGACAATAATTATCAACAACTTCTACGTACTTATATATAATAATATTAAATATAGCATAGGATTATTTAGAAAATATTAAATGGGTTGGTTAGGATGAAAATTAATGTTGAGAAAAGAAATAAAGTTCTTCCATGATCAATATAATCGATTTTCTAATTAGAATTTTTATAACTACATTGTTACATAATATATTAATTAATAAATCAATCAACTACGAAAGATAAAAAATTAATTTACTTGTTTTAATATATTAATAATTTTTTATATTAATGAGAAAACGAAATTAAATAAAAATATATTTAATTAAAAAATCGATTCAATATAATTAATTAAATGAGTTTTCATTCACTTGATATTCTAACTGCTATTATTTTAATGTTCAAAACTATATATAAAAATTCCTTTAATTTATTTAATTTATATCTATTAATAATACGTATAAAACACATTTTAATAATGGCGTTAATTGAATTTTATAACTTACAGTTTTATTATATGTATCCGTTGTATACATAATAATAAATTAACAACAATTTTGAATATGTTTTTTTCAAGTATAAATTATGATAAGTATAAGTAAGTATTATAATAAGTATTTTTGAAAAAAGCTAATAAGTATTTTTAAAAAGAGCTATGTATTATTATATCAGTAAAACTTTTCGACTATTTCAAACTTTCAATAAAAGCAATCAGTTTCTTTAATCATTATCAAATTTCGCAACTTATAGTAAAATTGTTTTTGTTCTATTATTAAGTCCAGACTAACAGTAGCACAGTTTCATTACACATTAAATATTTAATTAGTCGCTGCAACCGACTCGTCAAACTAAGAAATATATATACAGCAACTCGTCTTCGGAAACTTTGCCCTCTATCTTTACGAAAAATGAAATTTAGTAATCGTTAAATACAGTCGTCTTGAGTAAAAACTAGAAGTTATTAATGTACTCAGTACGAAGTAACGATACTGCAAAAATAAAAAATATCATCCTTAAGATAGAGTCAAAGCGATCGATTTTGTTTGTCATAGTATAGGCCTGGGAAAAAAGAAAGCTTTATGTGTATTACAGATCGCTTGGAGAAGGCGCTCGAACTCGCAAGAGAAGCCTGGCAAGGAGTTGATTACATTCCTCATCGTCGTCAATATCGCGATGTGGACGGTAAACACATTGGAGAAGTCGCGTGCCGTTGTCCGTCCTGACCACCTCGAATTCTTCGGTATTTGGGCCTGGACCATCATCACACATGTATCGATGCCTCTCGTCATATTCTATAGATTCCATTCGGCAATCTGCCTGTTTGAGGTGTGGAAGAGTTGCTTCAAATATAAGCCACCTATCGGCGTCGTCGATCCGATCTATTGAAGTGAATTAAATTACTTTTGTGAATTAAGCCAGCGACAACTGACTTTTCATTTATCAAATACAATAACACGCGTCAAACACATATTTGGATTTATAAGATTTCGAGTAACTAGTTTAACGTTTGCTTTGATACTTCTTGGAAAACGTTATTTACAACATACCCGTGGAAATTTCTCGGTACAATTTCTAAAGGTACCGTTGAAGGCTTTACTATAAATAAGATGATATTAAGTTTTACCACAATTTTTTACGAGAAATCGCATTACTCCTCCACCTCCAATACCAATCAACTTATGATTATTCAAATAAATTCTTTATAAACTTTAAAAAGTATTTTATTCTGTAATACTATAACGATAAAAACACATTACTTTTTTTACATTATGTAGCAAAATATATAATTTCGAAACATATTTGTAAATTTTATACAATTCTATAAATTTTCATAATAGAATGAGATTTTTTATATTATAATAATATTTCTATTTAAATTTTGTAATTAAAAAAAATTGATTTTCAATCATTTTAATGAGCAGGCACCATGGATAAATAAAGAAAATAAAATAAATTACATTACACTTTAAACTTATGGGACTCTAAAAACTATGAGATGTTTTATTGTTATTAAAATCATTATTGATTATTTTATGTCATTACCATTAAAAGAGCAATTTTTAATTTTTATAAAATCTTCCAATATACTGATGACATATTATATTTAGTAGAATAAAATAGGTTATTGATGGAAATACTCATATTTAAAGAACAATATTTTTATTATTACAAATTTAGAACAAATATTACTATTATTCACTTTATAATAAAAATGATTAACAACTTTTAAAACTTTAAAACTTTTAAAAAAAACTTTTACTTTTCAAAAGTAAAAAATTTAATGTAGAGCATTCTTTGAAAATCTATACTTTATTACAAATAGATGAGTAATATATTTATATATAAATTAAAAATTAAAAATATATACATCTTAAAAAATTATTAATACAAACGAATACAATTATTATATTATATATAATTCATATTCGTAAAATTATAATAAATTTAAATATTTAACATATTACATGAATTTTATGTTTTCATGTTCGATTTAAGGAAATGATAATAAAAAAAATTTAATATTCAAGTGTATTGTAATATATATTTTATGTTTTAATTTCAATTCACCAAAGATAGAATATTCTTATATTATACATATTAGGTAATATAAGAAAAACACAATATAAAACCAATATTTATAAGCAAATTACAAATAGTGTATAACACTAGAAAGGAAATATTTTTTATTCGAAGTATGGATATCAATGTAAGTTGCATTATGGAAAGTTCCAGTGTCTTGTTTTTATTGATAAATTTAAGTTTATTAAAATGCGTTTCATTAAACAACGCATTTTTAATCAATTTATTGATTCAACCATACAAAGGAATGCTGTAGATATCTTATTGACCCGTACCAATTAATTTAGATCGACAAGTTATAAAATTTGCAAGTTTTGCAATATTTTTCACTTAATATTGTGGTGTAACCAATGATTAAGTTATTAATAAGGCCATAACTATTAAAAAGCCATAGAAGAGATTCGTTGGTAGAGTGAACGGAGTAATCTATCGCCGACAGGTAAGTGAGAGTTAGACAACAGTTTTGTTGCGCAAAAGCTCTAAAATTATAGATTTTTAAAGGAAAAGCAGGATAAAGCAGTTCGCTACGCAAAAGTGCATTTCAGGATGGACAGAAAGAGCTCTGGCAAATTTTTTGTGACTCGACCCCAGATTCCCTAGCGGACAAAGTTGCCTCTCTTATTTTCTGAAAGCTTCTACTAAATGAGACGATTTCAAACATTACAAACACAATGACGTAATAAAATAGCAATTATTTGATAATAATGAATTGTATAAAAAAAAGAATATAATTTTGTACCACATGTAATTGAATATACCTAAACAATTATCTATAATTAAAGAAGATAAAACAAAAACTCTATCTGTGATACACCTACAATATAAGAACTAAGTGTTTCGGTTGCATTTTCGCCGTTTCAATAGTTTCAATATATCATATATTCAATATATTTAATTCATAGATCTAAACAAGCCAAACAAAAAGTTAACTAATCGATGACCTTGACAAATTTGGGGTAAACCAACAACAGAGTCTTCGGTACTTGATCACTCACCATACAAAATAATAATTCGATACAAGCTGAGCACCCCTTTCCATAATCAAAGTAAGCAATGTCGATGCGAAAATACGGGTATGTAGTTTGTACAAACTGTAAATACATTTTCATTGAAAGCGCCAGTAGGTCGGCGAAAGAGCTCTTAGCCTTTGTTGCCCAGACGCGCCTCTGATTTACTTAAGTCTCCCGAGTGCCTCTTAGGCCAGTCAGGCCTTTCGCTTCGTGCATGCGCGTTTGGAAAGCTCGCCGCAAAATTTGTGAAAGATGGGGGTGTAAGTGGCTTGTTGGCATTGCTCTTTACTTCCCGCAAGTTGCCTATGCCCTCGAGAAGCGAGTAAAAAGCACGTTAGCGTCTCTGGCATTTTATTTTTGATGAGAAGACGCAGAAGTGGTTAAAAAGTGGTAGTTTGCCAACATCGCCATTTGGTGACCACCGAGCATCGACCCCTTAATTACGAATTTTCACCTAGGAAAAATACAGTATTAACACTCAATGAAACGGACCGGTGAAAACTAAGTCGTGAATGGCATCGATGCGATCATCGCGTCTTTCTATCAACATAAAATATATTTTTATTTGAGGATAAATATACGCTCTGCAAAACCATAAGCTGCTAAACTAAAATGAACATGAGACATCTAATGAATACTTTCCACATCTTGGATAATCTACATTCACATACAAAAGATTCTGCGTCACTGCAGTTGTGCATTGTTTGTCCATTCGCTTAAATTTTAGTCTGAACTTTAAAAAAATCTAATTATAATATATTTATTTCTAATACAATATTGTTAAAAGATCAGTATTAAATGAAAAAAATTAAATTTCAATAAAATCTTAATAGCAAAATTAAAAATTATATTTACTCACTTCCATGAATCTAATAAATGGTTTTATATATTCAAAAACACTTGCGGATTATAAAAAATTTAATTTGTAAATTATTGTAATATTTAAGCTTTTAAATAGAATTCAATATATTTATTTAGTAAAAGATATAAATTAAAATTATTATTTCATATCAAGTTTCCAAAATAAACATTTATCAATTGTGAAATATCATAGGAAATGAAATACAATCTATAGAAATATAGAAGAAATCTGTTTAATATCATTATTAATGTATTATAACATATTTACGAAGAACATTATAGAAGAAAGGAATATAAACTCAAAATACTCAAAAATTTTGCAACCTAATAAAACTTGAACATCAGCATAAAGGAGATTTCAGTTTATAAGATTTCCTAGAGCTTATAAATTTTATATAATTTAAGAAAAATGGAATAATATTATAATAATAATTTCGAATGAAAGTATCAGGTTGATCATAGCCATCATTGAGTATTATAGCCATTTTTGTAGCGATTAATAAAGCTAATACAAGAAAAGTTCCATATAGCATTCGTTTATAATTAATTTATACTCTTAATAAATTTACAAATAGAAGATTCTTGATATATTATTTTGTATGCTTCCATAACCAAATAAATTTATAACTAAGTTTTATGTACTAGAATACTAAATAATTATATATATATATATATATATAAATAGATATATTATTAATAAATTTCGAACTCTCCTATACAATATTACAAAAAAAAATAAATGTAAAGTATTATAGAATTAATAAAAAAAAAAAATTCAAAATAGCATAATATAATATTGAACATTGCTAGTCAACAATTTCTCTTTTTTCAAACTTGTATTATAATATGAAAATCAAGAATTACATTTATATTCCTTTTTAATTAATACTAAGATCAGACAATATTTTGTGGGCTTCTTTCTTACGAATAAAGTGGATTCGCTACAACAGTATATTGATACTTTTGTATCATTTCACCGCACGGAACGATTCATTCAAATTCTACTTGAAACTATTAAAAAGTTGTATTTACACAGCTTCAGCGGACCATTGTTTCTATTTTAATACAAATGAAGTTTAGTAGAAATTGCTTTAGTTCTTAAGAGAAAACGTATATACAATAAAGCTGTACTGATATAAAATTTTCTCAATTATCACACAAGCTTGTGTTAAAACAATATCTATCTTTTACAAAAGCATGAAATCAGTTTAAATAACGCAGGGTCATTTTCAGATTTTTAAGCCTTTAATTAAATTTTAAACTTAATTTTATAATATAATTATTATTATAAAATAATTCTATTTATAAAACATATTTACATGCAAATTGAAATATATAATACAATAAACGTTGAAATAGCTAATTAAACAAATATTCCTTTTCATGTATGAAAAGTATATAAAATTAATAATTAATTTAGATTGAAATTCAGGCTTGTTTAAAAAATTTTAATTATTTTTCATTGTTACATAAATGATTATATTATCCACAAAGTTTATTAGTATTAAAAAAATTATTTTATTATTAAAATATTTGTCTTCCACAATGAATAATCTACATATAAAATATAATAAATATAAGATATTATTTTAATAGAAATGAAATATTTAAGTAATTAAATTTTGAATAATTAAATACAAATATATATAATTTTTTAAGAGTGTTTATTAAATATTTTATTTTGAAAATTTAATAGTACTCCAACATATATTATGAAATATATAAATGCTTGCTTTAGATAATTATCAAATTTACGTTTTTATCAATGGAAAATATTACTTTTAAAATTAAGTTTTTCTACGTCTAATAGCAATGTACATTTGAATGTAGATAATAATCTTCAATTTCATGAAGTATAAATAACTATCCTACTATTTATGAAATTAAAATAAAACATACTAATTTCCTAATTTTGAGAATGAATATTTTAATCAATATATGAAATATTATGTAGCTTAAAATAAAAATGAAATTTATATTTATGTTCACAACGTTTGCTTATTTTTTAATTTTAAATTGTGTACAATTGAAGCAACTATCGCAATAAA